TGTTAAACTAAGCGCTGTATCCTTTGTTCAAGTGCAATAAAGAATGTATATAAATTAGAATTAAATTAATTTGAATATTAGAACTATTGAATAATAATAATAAATATATTTTACAAAATAACAATGTCAACTTCATACATAATATATGCGTCAAATTTCTTTTTTTAATTCCAGTATTTACGTTAATCAGTAGTACAAAAGTCATCAACAGAGTAATAGCTTTTTTCCAGTAACTCAAGAAAAAAGCTATTACTCTGTAGTCTATAGTAGTTTAATTGTAAAAGAATTTGTTGTTAGAATTGTATAAAAACACATGTAACATATACACAAAAAAATCCACCAAAAACCTTCCATTTTTTTTGTAGTACATTATAATTTAGCTAATTTCAAACTTTACATACAGGGGATTGTTAGTAATAGGGTCTAATTGACCCATTGCTAGCAATACACCCTATCAGGTCGGCCTCCACGCGGTTCCCCCTGGAAACCGTCGTGGTTAATTCTAGTGGAATTCGTCACGATTGGCTAACTGACCTGCGGGTCTATCATGAAATGAAATTCCGAAATTTCGGACTCAATTTCGTGTTTTTGTTTATACCAAAATCGGACCAATAAATGGAATTTAATATTTCGTTTATCATACATCCTATCATAAAAGTCCAAAGGAACAATATTTTAACATTTTTAATATTTCCAAACGGCATGTATTATGTAATTTTAATATCAAATTTGTGTTTCGTTTGGCTCCGAAATTTCGGAAAACACTTCATGGTAGGCCCTCTGCTTTCATCGTCACCTATCATCCCTCACTGGTGCCCCGTCAGCGTATACCGATAGCGCGGGCGGAGATACAATTTCATTATCGCTTATTAAAAAAATTTTGCATACAAATTATCTTGTAAGCCATTGTATACTTAGGGCAGAAATACGAGGACCACGTAACATATTCAGGAAAGTATCGTCGAACTGAGAATCTTATTCTTTTGTCAAGTCGGTATAAATGGAAGCCGATATCTTAGAATAAAAAGGCAAGCGATTACGTAATAAAATAACAACTAACAAATCATCGTCTGAAATTGGTTTAACCCTTATAAAGGTAAAAATGGGCTCTCTACGGTACGTGTTACTCATATTTGAACGCTCCGATGTGACTGCAGTAGTGGTGACGCGTGTATATCGGAACAGTCCAAAAGTTAAGGTTATGGAATGAGCTCCCTGCCGAGGTTTTCCCAAGAGAGTACAACATGGGGTTCTTCAAAAGGGGGGTAAAGAGGTTTCTTCAGGGTCGGCAACGCACGCGTGATGCCTCTGGTATTGCAGTTGTTCATAGGCTACGGTAACCGCTTACCATCAGGTGGGCCGAATGCTTGTTTGCCACCTCAGTGGTATAAAAAAAATATATATGGAGTTTTTTTTTTTTATAAAGGATGTTAATAGAATAGTAGCCTGCGCTAACGGTATACGCTGGCGAGGCGAGTTTACCTGGAAACCATCGTACTAAATTCCAGGTGTGGGCTCATTCCATCACAATGGGCTAACTGACCTGCCTTTTTATTCTCACCTATCATTCCTCACTGGTTACCATTCCATTATCATTCATAAATAGGGGCTAGTCACGCGGACAAAGTCTCGGGTAAAACCTAGTGTTTATAAAAGTCTCTTTTAACCAACATAATACCCGAAAGTATGCCAACTATGCGTCCAACAGTGAAACTCGTCATGTACTTACCAACAAAGTTAGCGTTCCGATCCGACATTGTTGCTTTGTTTCCCATTTCGCAAATGTAACAGGAATGCCGAATGCTGTGCAGTTGCCAGAATGTTCAATGAAGTTTCAATTTATATTAATTATACTGGTTTAATATTATATTAGGTACAATACCGGCATTATACACCCCATGTCACAGGCGCGTCCGGTCATGTACGCAATATGTTATTAGTAAAGAGATCTAAAGCACAAGTCATACTGAGACCTATCCTGAGAGAAATTCATTTACTTAAGCTCCCTTAGATTAATATTTATTAATTAATTATTGTATTTTTATTTTAGTTGGGAAACAAACAATTTCTCATTACACTTAGTATATATATATATATATATATATATATATATATATATATATATATATATATATATATATATATATATATATATATATATATATATATATATATATATATATATAATATAACAAATACCCACTCAGTATTTAACGTAAAAAGCAAAAATACCATATGACAGTAGTAATAAGCAAGGCAATGTGACAGAGATAAGGGAATTAAGCAACTATAGATACATAACACTTCTCTAAGATATTTCCTATAGGCAAAGATCTTACAGTTTAACAAATCTATATAAGTACTAGTAAATTTAATATTATAATTATTGCAAGGTCTGAACAAAAATGTATCACCAGTATATTAGTACTTATATTATAAATGTGAAAGTGGTTTGTTTGCTTGTTATTTCTTAGGGTTCCAATACCATCAGCCGTTAACTATCCACTGAAATGAAATTAAATGAAATTAAATGAAATTTATTAGCTAGAAACATTGTAGAAAAGGTGTTGCATTTGTGAAGTTTATAAGATGTCCATTATGTTTCGCCACATCAAATGGCATGCAAATATTAATTATTGAATTTATCCATTGGCCATTTTATACAGGTACATTATATATTTAATTTTCAATTACATATACAATAAATCACTATTAGTACTGTATTTAACGTGCCATATATACAGTTTGTGATAATCGCAGTTCGTCATATAAGTATTTTGTCATAATCACAGTTATGTTTATTCATGTATGTATATAAGCTTAGTATATAGCATATGCACGAGCATATGCCGTGTCGGCTCCGGCATAGATTGGGCCACTCCTTCCTTTCCTGTGGGTGTTGTAAGAGGCGACTAAGGGAGCTTGTAGTGGAGGGATCCGTAGCGTCCCTCATAAAACATCTGTAAAAGCCTAACTGCGGTTACCAACCCGCCTGCCAAGCGTGGCAACTACTGGCAAAACTCCCCTTATGAGGAAGGCTTATGTTCAACAGTGAACATTAAAGGGCTGAAATTATAATAAATATAGCATTCGGGTCTCTCTGTCTACCCCACATGACTTAGCGTGCAGTTAGTAAGAATAACGAATATTTGGATAAATTAAGCAATAAAAGTATTCCTTACTTTTAAGCTTCAGGCAATTTTTGTTTGGCAAAACGAATCGATGGCTATTCGACCCTAGTGAAAAATTATTTCCACCTGTACGTTTTACGGCCACATTTATCACGCCATTGGGGGAGACATGCGATCCCCTATTTTGCGAATGTGGGTGAATTTTGAACCTTTCATTTAACCTGGGTGATTGTTACTCAATCACGCTCAAACAGCTGAACGAATTATAATGCATTGTTTTGTTTTCAAAAGTTCTTTATTTATCATAAGTTATTACAAATATAATAAATTCCAGTGTACGTAAGCCTAGAATTTACAATCGGCCGTAATCGCCTTCAAACATTTAAAATAGAGATTCAAGTATCTATAATTCTACACAACATAAAAAACTTACATTACATGATGTAACTTATTAATTATAATCATAAAATAAACACAAAATGCACATATTTGTAAATTATGCATTATAACAAAAATAATTCAATTAATTTTGGGAGGGTAGTTTGAACCCAAATAGTACCAAGTTGGTAACATTAATATTAGTTATTACTATTAGCAAGCGGCAGGTAATCATGCAGGCAATCATGACTGTCGAGAGCTGTGCGAACAATAGAAATAGAAATGGTGCGTGCCATCTTAATTCTTACTTCAGTATGCAAAAAGAGTGATTACGGTGTGTAATTATAATGCATTAATCTATACTTTATGTCTATTTTTATGTTAATTCATAGGGGCAACTAACAAATGACACCTATTATATAATAAATGGAAGTAGAAGTCTTGGTGAAAATACGAGTACATATTTATTTATTTATACTTTATTGTACACAGTAATAATACTCAAAGAAATATGACAGTGGAAAGCAAATTTACAAAGATGAGCTTCGCTCTGCAAGAGGTCTTTTCTATAAAGTCTCCCTCTGGTATCTTTCTATAAGTGAAAGAAATAAAAAAAATAACCCTTTTTTGCATGATTTTTTTATTAGTGAAATAAATCAAGGTGATAATTCATGTTTAAAATTAAAGGAAAATTGTTAAAACAAAATTTGACAGCTATGTTTTGTTTTTTACAATGGACATTAAAAAGGTATCCATACACGATCAACTTAAAGTGAACTTGGTTTTTTATATAATTTTTGGGCATTCAATGTTATGATGGAAATTTCCACCATTATCCAAAGAAGGGTTAAGTCTTTCCTCTTTATCATACGGATAATATGGGCCAATATTGTTATAATCGATTGGGAGTCGGTGGACGCCGGTTGCACGGGATTATTTATGGCAATGCTATATGGTTATACTAGCGGCCCGTCCCGGTGTTGTACAGATGGATATTTTTACATTTTAAAAAGTGGCCATTAAGGCTGCACACGCGACGGAAGTCTAAAAATGGAATAACTTCTCCCGTTTTCCCAACATTTCCCTTCACTGCTCTGCTCCTATTGATCGTAGCGTGATGAAAAGTATACTATAACCTGCCCAAGAATATGAAGAATAATTGTACCAAGTTTCGTTAAAATCCGTCGAGTAGTTTTTGTTTCTATAACAAACATACAGACAGACAGACAAAAATTTTACTGATTGCATTTTTGGCATCAGTATCGATCACTAATCACCCCCTGATAGTTATTTTGGAAATATATTTCATGTACAGAATTGACCTCCCTACAGATTTATTATAAGTATAGATAATAGAGCGCCACCTACCCTTTGTCTTTTTTCTCAATGTCCTCTACTCAAAGGTTGTTTGGAAGAGATTGCTTAGCTTTTTGTGTCACTTCTTATTAAAATTTACTGTATTCATAATAAATAAATTTTCTATTGTTTCAGTTGGAGAATGTACAGTTATTGGACAAGTACAACTTACGGAACCCATCGAAAGGCACACTGTACTTCGCTACCACCCACCTTATATTCGTCGATCATGAGATGCGCAAGGAGACATGGGTGAGTATATAGTATGAAAAGATCTCAAATTTCCATAAGAGTGTGCGCGTTTTCCATTTTTCTATTTGTAAATAATTGTAGCATGTGTTTTTATCGAACTTATTAATATCACAGTATAAGTAATATTACTATTTGCTTTCATCATCATCATCATCTCAGCCATTTTCCGTCCACTGTTGTACATAGGCCTCCCCCACAGACTGCCATAAAGAATGGTCCTGAGCCACCCGCATCTACCAACTCCCTGCAATCCATTTGAGGTTGATGACCTCCATGTAGTACAGGGTCGTCCTACATTCCATTTGCTCGTACGGGGTCGCCACTCAAAAATCTTTTTTTCCATCAATTGTCGGTTCTTCGAGCTATGTTACTAATACTATTAGCTTTACTACTAGTTAATATTATAAATGTGTTTGTTGGGGGGAAAGGGATTGTTAGCAATGGAGTTTGACAGCCCCTGGAAACCATCGTGAACAATTCTTGTTGAATTCGTCACGATGGGCCAACTGACCTGCTTCATCCTCACCTATCATCCTTCACTGGTGCTCCGCCGGCGTATCCCGATAGCGCAGGCAGGGTTACCATTCCATTATCACCCATTAAAAAAAAATTATAAATGGGAAAGTGTTTTTGTTTTGTTTGTTTGATATCTCTCAACGTGTTAACGTTTAATTCAATAATTATGAAGTTTGGTGTAAACGTAATATTTGAGATGGAGAAGGACTTAGACTACTATATATTCCGGTCAGTCGACATCATGTCTTAGTCACGTGCACAAAGATACGGTAAATAACAAGTTCTTAGAAGTCTGTGGTCTACAAAATCCGTGGTGTCTAAGAAGTAATAAAAATACTTTCATATTTATAAGTTAGGTTAAAGAAGGTAAAAGTATAATATATATATATTTTTTATACTCTTAGAATGGCAAACAAGCCCACCTGATGGAAAGTAATAACCGTCGCCTATAGGCATGAGTAGTACCATGGACATAACAGAGTATACTGTTTCGCCCATGATACCCCCCATGCGTTGCTATTCCTGAGGACTCAGGTGTTATTCCTCTGTACCCAGTAAATTCACGCCATATCCCACCCATCAAACCGAAATACAGCCATGTAAACAACTGCTTCACGGTAGAGACAGGAATGGGACAGAGGTACCCAAGCAATCGACTTTTGTACAAAGTCTCCCTCTGGTAATTGGTCCACTGTGATGAATTCATCAAGTTTTTTTAATGAATGATAATGGAATGGTTACCTCGCCTGTGCTAACGGTATACGCTGGAGGGGCACCAGTGAGGGATGATAGGTGACGATAACAGCAGGTCAGTTAGCCCATCAAGACCAATTTTACTGGAATTAGTCATGATAGTTTCCAGGGGTTAGCGCGTGGAGGTCGACCTGATAAAATGTATTGCTAATTATAGGAAAATTAGACCTCATTACTAACAATTCTTTTCCCCCTGAAAAGGCAGGTCAGTTAGCCCATCGTGATGAATACACCTGGAATCCAGTACGATGGTTTCCAGAGGAGATCACGTGGAAGTCAACCTGCAGGGTACATTGCTAGCATTGAAACTAGTAGTCCGCATTACTAACGATCCCTTCCCCCCAAATATAAGTATATGTAAAACGTATATTATATAACATCGAATGCTGATATTTGTTGACAGATATCAAAAACAGTCCCTCACTACTTGTCGAAAGTAGGTCAAGGGTAAAACTGACATCTTGGGATCTAAAGGTCAGATAGTACGGTCAAAGGGATATCGGTAAATGTACTCGTAATTACTCTTTCAACTTAGATCTGTACGCGTCATTTAAAGTTTCACACACGCAGATTTATCTCTTCTCTCGATCGAAATATGGTACATTTTAATAATAAAAATTGTAATTTTATGAAAATCTTATTTTTTTATATGTCGTGTGATCCCGGTGTAGAATAGGCCACCCCTTCCTTTCCCGTGGGTGTCGTAAGAGGCGATTAAGGGAGGGCGAGAGATGAACAAGGCTTATTTTCAGCAGTGGGTAGCTAAAGGCTGATGCGAGTACAAAAAATCTAATGATTAATTTAATATAAAATCGCATCTGACAACCCTGCGAGTGACTTACCGAAGTGTCTTGTTTTTATCATCTGCTCGGTACTCTAAATTTCTCCAATCAATCTCAATAAGTCCCGAGGCGGATTCTCTGTTAACAATCGAATATTTTCATTGTTGTGTACATTTTTAGCAATACAATAAATATGAGTTTTTTTTTTTTTTTTGTTATTGCGCAGTATTCCCGTTTATATAGTAAACAACGTAACAATACTTCTAAATAAATATTATTTACCTACGTTCTATGAGATCCATAATAGCTTTCTTATAAGTATGTATAGTCGTATTTACTTTTTTTATTTATGACATCCAACTGGTGAAGAAGGAAGGAAATTAATTATTTTCATGTATATATATATGTATACCTACGTATGTTCCCGTATTAGCAGGAGGCTTTGTCTGCCTGAAACAATATATAATGTGTTAAGATGTAACATACCCATGCATATGTGTGTGTTAGGATGCAACTGCGGTTGCCAATTCGCCTGCCAAGCGTAGCAACTACTGGCAAACCCCCCAAGGGGAGGCTTATGTTCAGCAATGGACAGTTAAAGGCTGATATGATGATGATGGTAAAAATGTATTTGATTCAGATTTTATGTATGGTTTTTATAACCCATCACCTTCATCATATTACAATGTATTTTTTATACAACTTAGAATGGCAAACAAGCTGACGGCCCACCTGATGGAAAGTGGTAACCGTCGCCTATAGACATGAGCAGTACCATGGACATAACAGAGTATACTGTTTCGCCCATGATGCCCCCCATGCGTTGCCATTCCTGAGGACTCAGGTGTTATTCCTCTGTACACAGTAAACTCACGCCATATTCCACCCTTCAAACCGAAACACAGCCATGCAAACACAACTGCTTCACGGTTGAAACACGAATGGGACAGAGGTACCCAAGCAATCGACTTTTGTACAAAGTCTCTCTCTGGTGTAAATTAATATAGGCTAAAGTATCTACGTTAACTGAGTAATTAAACTTGTTTACCGTAATATATTAATTGATGTTATTAATTTAATTATAGCTAATAAATATTTAATTAAGACACGTGGCTTACAAGGGTCTGTGACAGGCATTCACATTTTTGTTAGGGAAACCTTTTCCAATTACCGAGTACTGAAATTGGGAGCTAACTTTACAAAGTTTCGTCTCACTCTAAATCTTAATTTTAATTGGAGATTTTATATCAATTAAGTAAGTACATGGAATATTATTTTACTTTTTAAATTTTTTTATATGAAGCGTTTTCTTTCTCTCGGGATAATTAATACAGCGCTGTGATTTTGACATCATTTTCCCTTCCCCGTGGCTATAGTAAGAGCGCTTGCTACGCGTTTGCCAACCAGCTTGCCAAGGGTGGCGATTATTACCGAATTTATCATGGGGAGTATTCTAAGGAATTGTTCGGATTGATATTTGCTGTTGATTTTCACCACCGTACAAACCGCCACAAACTAAAGTTTCATCCCAATCATCTGGACGAGTGGCGGTCTTCCACCGTGCGTTTTTCAAGGCACTTTCTCCCACGCACAACCATTCTTTGGAATCAACTTCCAGCAGCAGTATTTCCGAACCGATACGACAACATAACCTTCAAGAAAAGAGCGAAACAGTATATTCCTTTTTTAAAGGCCGGCAGCACACCTGCAATGCCGCTGGTGTTGTGGGTGATTATGGGCGGCGGTTGTCACTTACCATTAGGTGAGCCGCATGCCAACACAGAGGGTAAACGACTTTTTTTTAAAAGACCTCTTTGTATGGGGAAGGTCTATGCTCAGCAGTGGGCAGTTAATAGCTGATATGATAAAGATAATGTGGTCTTAGCGCAATCAATTCCAAATCACAATAGACTATTAGATCTATATATATATATATATATATATATATATATATATATATATATATATATATATATATATATGTATTTGTAACTGGAATTTAATAAACTTACTGTGTTTGTCGTTCTGACATTTATTTCGACATCATCCGGAAGGCTATTTCAGGGTGAGTAAGGCGCTGAGGTATCAGCGTCCCACCTCTCACTGCAGGCCACAACTCTTTCTACTATTAGATCTATACTGATCCTTACTAAATGTAAAATTGAGTTTGATCACTTGTTACCTCTTTGTGCCTTAAGAATTTGGTATACACATATTATTTGGAATGAAGAAGTACATAGGTTACTATTTATCTTTCCATATATTTAAAAATAAGTCCTGTCTTTTGTGACATTGTCACTTGTCTGTTCTAGATACTGCTAATGCACATCTCATCAGTGGAGCGGCTGCCGATCACGACGACTGGCTCTCCGCTGCTCGTGCGGACGAAGACCTTCCAGTCGGTGTTCTTCGTGATCCCCCGCGAGAGGGACTGCCACGAAATGCACCAGACTCTATTGCGACTCAGCCAGCCAGGTGAGAGCATTTGGAAGTGCTACAACTATTTACTATATTAGGAAAAATAGAGGGTAAAAGAGGAAGGGAAAAATCGAGAAATAACTACATGGGTCAGATAAAGGAAACACTAGGTGTCATGTCATATAAGAAGGTCAAAGATATGGTCTGGAATAGAGCTGGCTGGAAGAAAATGTATATTTATGCATTAGTTACAAGAAGAAACTTAAATGAAAAGAAGACATCTATTACTACTTTCAGGCCAACCTTCACCTTGTTCTCTTTGGAATCTATCATGATTAATTCCTGGTGACTTTTTCAGTGCCTACTGAACAGACTTCATCCTCACCTACAAATTATCTTTTATAGAAAAAAAAAAACTACTACTATTTGCATGTTATTTTAATGGATGAGAATTGAATGGTAATTGTTCTGCGATATTGGTGTACGCTGGTAAGGCACCAGTAAGAGATGGGATAGATGAGAATGAAACCAGGACATATAGACAAGTGGGCCCGCGAATCTATCGTTGAAATCGTCATCGCTAACGAGTCCTTGAGATAGAAAGAGAGCAACGTCAGATGTCTCATTCTCTCTCATAGACTCGATTTCAATAACGATTCTATCGATTGATTCGTTTACCATTTGCCTAGAAGGGTTGGTCAGTTAGTCTATTGTGATGAATTCATCAAAATAAATAAAGTTCAATCACATTTAATTTGTTATTTCAGTACACATTGACGAGTTGTACTGTTTCCACTACAAGTCCACGCCGGACGAGCTACCCAAATCGGCCGGCTGGAATTTCTTCGACATCCAGACCGAATATCAAAGAATGAACGTTCCAAACGAACACTGGGTGCTGTGCACAGCGAACAGAGATTACGAGGTGAGAATTGTTTATATAATAAAAATTTTTTCCTTGGTATCATACTAGTTTTTTTCCTTTCTTTCCAGAAAGGAATAAAACTAGTATGATACCAATATGGAATAATACCTTTCGATTAAGAAAGTTTCCTCAAAATTAATTCATAATTGGAGATTTAAAAAAGTATCGCCTTAAATGATCATAATTTTCTTGACCTTATAAATATAGGTAATGCAAACCAAGACCCCAAACTCAAATTTGTAGTCTGCGTTATATATTTTTCTCTTTTATTAACTGTTTTTTGCATTCATTTTAGTATTCACTTCTTTTCTGGCCATATCATCTATCACACTGTCCATCCAATTCAGTTTAGGTCTTCTGTTCTTGTTATTTTATCCCATGCCTTATTACATCCACGTCCATACTTATTACTTTTTTTTAAATATTCTCCTCCTTAATGTTGTCACTTGATTGTACCACAACAACCACAATTCTTCTCTATCACTCGCTATCACTCTAACAATCCCTTCAAACTTTTGATATACTTTTGATTTATATCTCTGCTGTATGTGATAGTCTTAGATTATATAGATAGAGTATCGAGTCTCAAAAACGGGTCAACTTTTTGTCAGCTAATTATCAAATTAGCTGATTCCTTTTTTTTATCAGTATTCCATTTACTAACGCATATAATGTATTTTGACGTATCGATATTTAATTATTTAATAAAAAAAAATGAGTTTTTACGTATTAAAAAGATGCAAGAATTGTAAAACAAGATAAATATAGAAATTGTAAAAAGAAACACTCATAACTGTTCATCACTCGAAATTATATGAAAAAGTTGACCCGTTTTTCTCGAAGCATTATTATGTAGACACTCTATCTATATAGTATAAAGCGATATTATTACTGAAGTCTCATTTTGAACGGCATACAACAGTTGTGCGATACGTACCCGAGCGAGATCTACGTACCAGCGAAGGCATCCACAGCTGTGCTCCTCGGCAGCGCCAGCTTCAGATCGAGGGGTCGTCTCCCAGCCTTGGCCTACCTGCACCATAACAAAGCAGCCATAGCGCGCTGCAGTCAACCGCTGAGCGGATTCTCTGCTAGGTACATCTCCATCATCATAGATAATCCACATCATCATCATATCAGCCTTTAACTGTTCACTGCTGAATATAAACTTCCCTCTTGGGGGGTTTTGCCAGTAGTTGCCACACTTGGCAGGTGGGTTGGCAACCGCAGTCAGGCTTTAGAGATGTTTAAAGAGGGCCATTGCTGCCTATCCCTCGCCCTCTTTTGGTCGATATTTACGATACCAACGCGAAATATATGGCCTATGCTATGTCGGGACCACACGGCAACCTACAGTAATCCTACAGCTGAACTTGAGTTTTCACTAGAAGGATACTATACACAAACTTTCTCTGCTTGCATTCTTCTGCGCCATTTGTGTTGAAGAAACACTAACTGTGCCCTGAAATGACTCTGCTTGCTGTGTGAAGATGTGACGATTTAAAATGTGAAAGTTAAAAATAAATAAATAAATATATATATATTAAATACCAGAGGGAGACTTTGTACAAAAATCGATTGCTTGGGTACCTCTGTCCCATTCGTGTTTCCACCGTGAAGCAGTTATTTGCATGGCTGTGTTTCGGTTTGAAGGGTGGGTTATGGCGTGAATTTACAGGGTACAGAGGAATAACACCTGAGTCCTCAGGAATGGCAACGTATGGGGAGTATCATGGGCGAAACAGTGTACTCTGTTATTTTCATGGTACTGCTCATGTCTATAGGCGACGGTTACCACTTTCCATCAGGTGGGCCGTCATCTTGTTTGCCATTCTAAGTTGTATAAAAAAAAATTATTAGGTACTTTGTTGATTATGTTGATGTTTTTAGGATTAATTGTAATGAATTAAATTGACGTAAAATATTTATTATTATAATTGTTAATATTAAAAATTATAATTTAAAAGTCATCATGTAAGCGCTTTACACATTATATAACAATAAATTAATAATAATATTAAAATAATTAAATTTTATTTTGGACTTTTTTGGTCCATTAAATATTTATTAGTACCAATATTCTTAAAACTAATGTTAGTAAATTTACGTACACAATACACACACACACACACACACACACACACACACACACACACGCACGCACGCACGCACGCACGCACGCACGCACGCACGCACGCACGCACACGCACATAATATATTAAATAGTATACAGATAATCACCGCTGCACAATTCCATTGGAAATTGCGCAGCAGTGATTAACGTACACACAGTGCAGTCTGCTTGCTATCATACTCATAACTGTACCTGAAACTGAAGATTGGGATGAGGCAATAATATTATGAGGTACGGAAATATCACCATCTCAAAGCAACACAAGGGGGGGGGGGGGGTGGTACCATGGGTATCGGTCATATTTTAAGATGTCCACTGTTGTTGCAACCGTTGTTGTTTATCTCTGTAGAAAATGATTACTATTTTCCATCGGGTAAGCCATTATGTCATGTAAAGAATACATACATATTTTGATATTATTTTTCACAGATGCATGGAGGATGAACAGATGCTTGACTTAATCCGACGTGCCAATCCTAATTGTGGTTACATGTACGTTGTGGACACTAGGCCCAGGGTAAGGTTGCATATTTTTTTATATTTTACCCACTGAACGTCATTATTCATTATTCTTTATACATCACTTTGAGATAAATAACGTAAGAAATTTAATTCCTCTTGATGTGATTATTTATAAACAAATATGCTTGATTTCCAAGGATGGCCACTCTAGATCCTTTCGGTTTTTTTTTAATGGGGGAAAATGGAATGAACACGCGCTCGCGCTATCGGTATACGCTGGCGGGGTACCAGTGAGAGATGATAGGTGACGATGAAGGCAGATCAGTCGGCCCATTCGACAAGAATTAACAACAATCGTTTCTAGGTGGAACCGCGTGGAGGTCGACCTGATAGGGTATAATGCTAGCAATGGAGCTGTTAGAACCCATTACAAACAATCCCTTTTCCCCCAAACTTTTCGGTTATCACTTCTGATCCTTCGAACTACCAGTGCAATTACTATAGCTATATACCTTATCAGACCAACCTCCACGTGACCCCTCTTAGAAACCATCGTGCTGGATACCCGACGTATTCATCACGATGGGCTAATTGGCTTGCCTCTCACTCTCACTTGCCGTTTACCTTAGGCGGTGTTCCATCCATTCCATCATCATCCATTAAAAAGAATCCTGCGATAGAAGTGGACCTCACAGAAGAAGAAGTGATAGTACGGATAAAAGATGTAGCATAATTTCTCCTACGCTGACTCTTTGTTGAATTTGGAAGTTAATTCCGCGATTTCCGATTTTTGTTCAGGTGCTAATGTTAGCTTGCATTCCTTCGATTTTTGCCTACATAATTTATAATAGACGTCCTGCTGTTATTATTATGCTTTTTGTCCAGATAAACGCGATGGTGAACCGAGCGGCTGGCAAGGGCTATGAGAACGAGGCGTTTTATGAGAACATCAAGTTTCAGTTCATGGGCATCGGCAATATCCACGTGATGAGGAAGAGCCTCCAGAAGCTCGTCGAGAGTATGCATCGTTTGGTGTTTCATTTATTTTATTTTACTGTGAATTGTAAAAAAATTGCTTATTAGACAATTAGGGTTTCTTCTTTATTATATATATATTACTATATTACTTCATGGTAATTGTTTATCTTCATGTCAGGTTGATGTTGAGAAAAATTACTGCAAAAAGTCTATCGTTACACTCTGATAACTCATCAGGTGGGGCGTCAGCTTATTTGCTATTCCGACTTGTTTTTTTTTATACCACGAAAGTACCAAACAAGCATACAGCCTGTCTGATGGTAAACAGTCACTGTAGCCTATGGACGCCTGCAACACTAGGGGTGTCACGTGCGCGTTGTCCGACCCTGAAGAAACCTTAATATTATACCCTGTTTGAAAAATCACATATTTCAGTCTCTAGGGAATACCTCGGCAGGGAGCTTATTTCTGAACGTTCGCGAGAGAAAATCCCTTTGAAATCGTATTGTCGTATAGAAATATTTTTGTGAAAATTTATTAATTTAATTAAAAATTTATTACTTAAAAAGAATAAATTAAACTCACTTTGTTACTAATTTGTTATTATTACTGTATATTTTAGTGCAATAAAGAATATATATATATATATATATATATATATATATATATATATATATATATATATATATATATATATATATATATATATATATATATATATATAAATGTAAATTTGTTTCAGCATGCGAGCAAAACACACCAACTATGTCGTCATTTCTTAGTGGCCTCGAATCATCCGGTTGGCTCAAACATATCAAGTAGGTATCTTAAATGATTTTGTTATCACTCAGATCCGAAAATTTACGGAAAATGTTCATATTCTAAATTGGCCCGACCGAGAATCGAACCCAAGACCTACTGGTACGTGCTGATGTCTTCAACAGATCGTTAAAGGGTCAATTCATTCATATAAACATGCTTGAATTAATTGATTTTAATAGCGAATAGTTACAAAAATATAAATTTACATAAAAGCCGTTACTTTGATCCACTTGAAATTTTGAAAAAGGCGTCCGTTGACACATACAGCAAGTTTTTGTTCCCTTTTCGAAACGAGACGGACCAATCCTGGGGCACATCCGGTGTTGCTATCATTCGCTTCTTACTGTACGCGACACCTACCAAGTGCTATGAAATTTCATATTTTCTTTTATTTATTTAGGGATTATTAGTAATAGGGTTAACAACCTCATTGCTAGCAATATACCTTATCAGGTCGACCTTTACGTGGCTCGCTCTGGAAACCATATGGTTAATTCGTGGTTAATTCTTGATGAATTTGTCATGATGGCCTAATTGACTTGCTTTTATTCTCACCTATCACCCTTCACTAATGCTTCGCTAGCGTAAGCCGAGTTACTATTCCGTTATCGTCCATAAAAGAAGTCCTCAGTACTAACAATTCCTTTCCGGGGGGAAAGGAACCCATTTCTAGCAATACACCCTATTAGGTCGACCTCCACGCGGTTCTCCCTGGGGACAAAAGTGATTAATTTTTGTTTAATTTTTCACTATGGGCCAACTGACCTGCCTACCTCTCATCTTTCACTGGTGCCCCGCTCGCATACACCGATAGCGCAGGCGTGATTACCATTCCATCTTCACCTATTAAAAAAAATTGCTTGCCCCCTAAAGGTCGATACTGGACACGTCGTGGTGGATAGCGTCTGCGATCGAGGGCGGCGTGAGCGTGTGCGTGCACTGCAGCGACGGCTGGGACCGCACCGCGCAGGTGTGCTCGCTGGCTGCACTCTGCCTCGAGCCGCACTACCGCACCATCAACGGCTACCAGGTGCGCCCAGTCGCGCCTCACTTTACAGGGTACAGAGGAATAACACCTGAGCCCTCGGGAACGGCAACGCATGGGGGGGTATCATGGGCGAAACAGTATACTCTGTTATGTCCATGGTACTGTTCATGTCTATAGGCGACGGTTACCACTTTACATCAGGTGGGCCGTCAGCTTGTTTGCCATTCTATGTTGTATTTTATTAATATATTTCTATGTTATTAATATATTGGCAGGCGCTAATAGAAAAGGACTGGCTGTCATTCGGGCACAAGTTCACGGCTCGGTGCGGTCACATCGCGTGCGACGGCCGCGAGCGCTCGCCCGTCTTCACGCAGCTGCTCGACTGCACCTGGCAGCTGCTGCGCCAGCGGCCCGAGGTACGCACCTGATCAGCATCTCCAGCAGCTTCCACCCTCAAAGGAAGGGGGGAGATGAGATTGTTAGTTATGGAGATTAGCAACCCCATTGCTAGCAATATACTCTCTCAGTTCGGCCACCTCGTGGCTTCCTGTAAACCATCATGCTTAATACTAAAAATAATATTTTTTTATTACAGATAATTAGTATCCATTTTTGTTAGTAACAATTTTAATTATGTTAGCAGAAAAAAATACAAAACAAATAATTTTATGGCCCATATAATAATTTAGATCCACAATGAAAGGATCGGGTTATCGTATTTATTACATAATGCTAAGTGAATTCGTCTGACTATATAGATATGGAAAATGATAATGGTATAGTAATGGGGGGAAAGGCATTGTTAGTAATGGAGACTGAGAATCCCATTGCTAGCAATATACGCAACCAGATCGACCTCCTCGCGGTTTTCCCTGGAAACTATCATGGTTAATTCCTGACGAATTCATCATGACGGGCTAACTGGTCTGTTTTCATTCTTATGTATCACCCTTGTGCTGGTGCTCCGCCAGCTTATCCCGTTAGCGCAGGCGGAGTTACCATACCATTTTCACCTATCAAAAAACAAAAACAAAAATGGTATAGTAGCCCTGCCTGCGCTAACGGTGCTGGGGGAGAAAGGAATTGTTAGTAATGGGGTCTAACAGCCCCACTTTTATTTATTATCACTATTATTAGGTCGACTTCCACGCGGTTCCACTTGGAAAATATTGTAGTTTAATTCTTGTGAGATTTGTCACGATGGGCCAACTGACCTGACTATATCCTTATTTATCATCCCTCACTAGTGCCCTGCCAGTGTATACCGATATCTAGGGCGAGGTTATAATTCCATTTTCATCCATTAAAAAAACGGTATATACGTGAGGATGTAAAGGCAAGTCAGTATTTTTTTTTATACAACTTAGAATGGCAAACAAGTTGACGGCCCACCTAATGGAAAGTGGTAACCGTCGCCTATAGACATGAATAGTACCATGGACATAACAGAGTATACTGTTTCGCCCATGATACCCCCCATGCGTTGTCATTCCTGAGGACTCAGGTGTTATTCCTCTGTACCCAGTAAATTCACGCCACGCCAGTAAATTCACGGGTGGGATACCACCCTTCAAACCGAAACACAGCTATGCAAACACAACTGCTTCACGGTTGACCCACTGGGATGAATTTATTAAGAATTAACCACCATGGTTTCCAAGGTGACCGCGTGGAGGTCGACCTGACATTGCTAATAATGAGGCCGCCAGTCCCCATTACTTAGCAACATTAGCAATTTTTTTCCCTTTATTTTTACGTTTAAAACACAATACGGGAGAAAGTCAATTGTATTCTAATATTAATCGCACTATATGTTTATTTGCGTATGCGCAGGCGTTCCAGTTTAATGAGAGGTTCCTACTAACTCTCCACGATCACGCGCATGCGTGCCAGTACGGGACCTTCATCGGAAACTGCCAAAAGGACCGGCGAGATCTCAGGTAACTTCATTTAATTCATTGTTTTGTACTAAAAAGATGTATAGAAATATTATTTGAAACTAGCGATTTGAGCCGGCTGCGCACGAGTTGACAGAATTTTCGAAAATCAATACGTAATATTTTATACGTAATAAAAAAGTTTCAGCCAATTTAACTGATCGGTTATTTTATAGCATTTTATATATGTATCTTTAGATTGATATAACTTTTTTTATTTATGAACCGATTGAATAAAAATACTAAATGTTATGTGAAGCAAACCGCAACGCTTTAGTGAAAACTGCTTTCAAATCGGCTAAGCTGTTTCTGAGATTAGCGTGCACAAACGTAAACAGATAAAAATTCTAAAAATTATCGTTTTGTTTTTATTGCGTTCATAAAGCCTCCCCCCCCCCCCCTATAATAGTTTTTCTTTAATATCAGCGACCAGTTACGATTTTATTATATGAATGAAAGGACACTATGGAATTTTCAAGGTTATAACAAAATAAAATTATACAGCTAAAGATAAAACTTAATATTATCTAGTTAAAATTAAACATACTGTTAAATTAAACATGTTTTCAAACTTTTACATTTATAATATTTTTTAATGGACGATAATGGTATGGTGGTCTCGCCTGTGCAATTGGTTAACACTGGCGGACCAGTGAAGAGAGATAGATGAGGATAAAAGGTCAGTTTGGCCATTGTGACGAATTCCACAAGAATTAACCAAGATGTTTACCAGGGGGAACCGCGTAGAGGTCGACCGGAAAGGGTATATTATAGTATACTACTAGCAATGGTGCTGATCCTTTTACTAACAATCCCTTCCTCCATTTATAATATTAATAGGATAAGAAAATTTGTAAAGATGTTTGAATACTTTATCTACTAATTCACGTGAGCAAAGCCGCAGAAAATAATTAGTAATAATATATAATCTAATTCCCAGGTTGTCTGAACGCACATTTTCTCTGTGGGGATACATGGCGAACCATCTCAACGAATACAAGAATCCACTGTACAACCCGAAGGCCCATCCAGACGTGCTTAAACCGGACTTAAGTGCGCAGAGCATAAGGTATAATTTCGTAGGAATGTTTCTACAGAGATAGAGGGAGACTTTGTACAAAAGTCGATTGCTTGGGTACCTCTGTCCCATTCGTGTTTCTACCGTGAAGCAGTTGTGTTTGCATGGCTGTGTTTCGGTATGAAGGGTGGAATATGGCGTGAATTTACAGGGTACAGAGAAATAACATCTGAGTCCTTAGGAATGGCAACGCATGGGAGGTATCATGGGCGAAAACTCTGTTATGCCATGGCACCGCTCATGTCTATTGGCGACGGTTACCACTGTCCATCAGGTGGGCCGTCAGCTTGTTTGCCATTCTAAGTTGTATAAAAAAAATACTGATGCTATCTCCTCTGCCTTCTGGAAGGTTCTGGCGCGGCATGTACTGCCGGCACGAGAGTGGCGTGCACCCTCGCGAGCCGCTGGGCGACCTGCTGCCCGCCGCCGTCGAGCACTGCTCCGCGCTCGACCACCACATCAACTACCTCACCAAGGTACTTGCTTCCACCTCCAGATATCTACATAATAATAGTAATAACTTTATTTCCTTAAACAAAATTAGCCTGTAGTACAATATAACTATGACTCCACACTAGGCAAAGCCTGTCTCGTGGAAATCAAAGCTAAAAATTTAACAGTTATAGTGCGGCGAACAGGGTTAATTTATGCCACCGTATTGTCGTGGACACCGTTAGTTTACAATCTATCTCACCAGATGCCTTCATACACATTGCAATTTTTTATCTACTTTTGCGTAAATAGAGTTGCCATATGCACATTTATTCTTTAGTAGTTAATTTTAAAGTTTGGCGTTGTTTACACATATTTTAAATACACAATCAGGACTTAACGCAAATGAAAAAGTTTTTACATGTAAATAGTACCTACATACCTGCTTCTTTATTGCCGACATCTCGACGTAAATTGCCCCATATTTACCTGTGAAAGCTTTTACATCGCGTTATGTCCCGATTGTGTGTTTAAAATATTCTTCAGTATATAGGAAAAATTATACTATGTGGTTAAAAAAATTTAAATAGATACAAAAATAAAAAAAGATATAAGATTATTAAGCATATATTTGAAAGAGCAAGCTAAATAGTACATAAAGATTTGTAATTTAATTGTTATTTATTTGTTATAATAATAAATTGAAAGCATTTTTTTTAATTACTAAATTAAAAAATTAAAAAAAAAATACTAATTACTATTTTTTTTCTTTTAAATCCCACGCAGATAATTGTAACTATTTATATGTTCATTCCGCAGAGAATAACCACGTTCAAGAATCTTCTATCAGGCAAAAAGGCTGAGAAGAGTAAAGACACAACAGTGGTGAACTACCAGAACGGGAATGTGAACTCTGTTGAAATAGAGACAAAGACTGAGGCGTTGCAGATAGACAACAAGTTAGTTTTATTATTATTTTTTATACCACTGAAGTGGCAAACAAGCCCACGCGATGGTTAGCGGTTACCGTAGCCTATGAACGTCTGCAATATCAGGGCGCATGCGCGTTGCCGAACATGAAAAAACCTCTTTACCTATCTTTTGAAAAACTCTATGTTGTAGTCTCTTGGGAAGACTTAGTGTTACATATTTTCGAAAAATATTATAGCATCGAGAGACCAACTGAGTAGGCAATTGTTCGATTCATAGACCGTTTGAATATATATTGTATTAATAAGAAGGCCACATTTTAATCAAGTATTTTTCATATTTAATTTTTAGTTTGTATTTAATTCTTGTCTGTTAATTAATGTTTCAACCGTGAAGCAGTTGTGTTTGCATGGCTGTGTTTCGGTTTGAAGGGTGGGATATGGCGTGAATTTACTGGGTACAGAGGAATAACACCTGAGTCCTCAGGAATGGTAACGCATGGGGGGTATCATGGGCGAAACAGTATACTCTGTTATGTCCATGGTACTGCTCATGTCTATAGGCGACGGTTACCACTTTCCATCAGGTGGGGCGTCAGCTTGTTTGCCATTCTAAGTTGTATAAAAAAAATCATTTTTTTTTGTTAATACCTGTTTTTATTTCTTCGTGATAACCTATTAGTGGATTAGTTTGTAATCCATCTAAACTGTATTTATTTACTCTAGCGTAGACCTGGTTTTCCTGTAATATTATACATACATTACAAAAATACGTGTGTTCATCTGTAAATTGTGAGCCAACTAACCTGTCTTTATCTTCGGCTATTTTCTCTAATACCTCGAGAGCATACGGATAGCGCTGGTGATTTTTTATTGCGTGAAAATGGAATGGTAACCCCGGTGAGCGATGAGAGATGAGAATGAAAGCAGATCAGTGGGCTCATCGTGATGTATTTAGCGGGAATTAACTACGATGTTTTCTAGGTGAAATCACGTGGAGCTCAACCTGTATTATTAGCATCGGCCGTTATTAATATTTTTTGCAGTTGAGGTGCACAACGGTTCCGAGCAGCGATCTATTAATTTGCCTGTAGATATCTCGTTTAGTGGTGAAACACGTGTCGCAGAACGTGCGTGGACGAAATAGTAGTTGGAAATTTACCAGAGGGAGACTTTGTACAAAAGTCGATTGCTTGGGTACCTCTGTCCCATTCGTGTTTCAACCGTAAAGCAGCTGTGTTTGCATGTCTGTGTTTCGGTTTGAAGGGTGGGATATGGCGTGAATTTACTGGGTACAGAGGAATAACATCTGAGTCCTCAGGAATGGCAACGCATGGGGTGTATCATGGGCGAAACAGTATACTCTGTTATGTTCATAGTACTGCTCATGTCTATAGGCGACGGTTACCACTTTCCATCAGGTGGACCGCCAGCTTGTTTGCCATTCTAAGTAATATAAAAAAAAAAAAAAAAGATTTATGTAGAATTTCTGGCGAGTGTTAGCAGTCGCACATATAGTAACGGTATCAGAATTGAACAATATAATTCTAATTGCATAACTATTGTTTGTATTTCAGATTACTGTACGAGTCTGGCGGCACTCTGTCGGAGCTGGAGTGCGCTAACCACGACCACCCTCTAAAGGAAGACGTCGCCGTGCCACGCAAACCGAACAAGATACCACTCATCACAGAGGTACAGCTTTTTTTTAATGGGTGACAACGGAAAGTTAACCCCGCCTACGCTAACGGTATGCGCTGGCGGGGCACCAGTGAGAGATGATAAGTGAGTATTAAAGCAGGTCAGTCACGCGTGAATTTACAGGGTACAGAGGAATAACACCTGAGTCCTCAGGAATGGCAACGCATGAGGGGGTATCATGGGCGAAACAGTATACTCTGTTATGTCCATGGTACTGCTAATGTCTATAGGCGACGGTTACCACTTTCCATCAGGTGGGCCGTCAGCTTGTTTGCCATTCTAAGTTGTATAAAAAAAAATTAGGTCATCGCGATCAATTCCGCAAGAATGAACCAAGTTGGTTTCCAGAAGGAACCGCTATCCTATCCACTTAACAACTCTCACTTGTGCCCCGCCAGCATATACCGACAGTGGAGGTGGGGTTACTATTCCATTATTACCCATTTCAAAAATAAAGTTGACAAATATTTCCCTCTACGTTTACGCCAAGCTTCTTAAGGGGTACCTTTATATAATATACAGGGTGTACGGGTCAAGGTTGCAAAAACTGAAAGAGTGGATTCTGACCATTATTCTGAACTGAAAACCAGTGGAAATTCTTTTTTTTCCTGATTTTTTTCCATTTAGAATCAAGTAATCTATGATATTGTCATAATATAAAAAAAAAAAAATACTTTTTAGTGAAGAACTATGAAATATCAAATAAATAACAATGTAATATACGTATTAAAAATCTACCATGATGCCTGGAATCAACTGTGCACGCTACAAGCGTACGAAAACTACCTACGAAATAGCATCGACCGCACGATACCTACGTGTTTTCGCGTTGCGTGGATCGTAAAATTCCAAATACATTGCGCGGCGTCAAAACTAAGAATCATTAATTATATATTATATAGCTGTGGTGCATTTCCGGTGAGAAATTGATCTTCTGTCTTATTCAGTCCATTCATCTGAATCGGCTGTTTTTGTTTTGGCCAACCTGTACCTTCCACTCTGTATATGTATTTTAGTAATACAGTGGTACCTCGATAAACGAGTACCCTAATATACGAGTGTTTTGAGATATGAGCCGTTGAGCGAGCGATATTTTGCTTTGAGATGAGAGCAAGATTTGAAATACGACAAATTGTGCACTACCACGCTACACACGACCCCAACATGCGGGGTGGATGTTGGTGTCCAACAGTTCCTCCCACTTCAGACTAACTAACAAAAACAACAGTGGTTGGAACTGTTGATGGGAGTACGAATTAATGGCATTTCAATTAATTTCAATGGGGGAAATTACGGAACAAGCTAAACGAGGTATGTCGAGGTACCACTGTATATCTATTAATTCGTAGCGCGCGGACGAAATAATTCCGGTGAGCCTGCCGGAGTTGGAGCGAGAGGTGAACACGGTGGCGCTCGACTGGAAGAGCATCAAGAGCGTCACCGAATGCAGCTGCTCCACGCCACTCGACCACTTCAGTAGGAAGGTAATTATATAAATAAATATTCAATTAGAAGTGGCATTAATGTAATTTTAATAATAATAAATACGTTGGTGCCTCTGCGCGTGATTAGGTTTGCGCCTGAGCGCATCCCTACCGCCCCAACTCTCCAATCCTCACGACATACCGACTCTCCGTCCCCCGACGTGGGTCGAAGTGCGGTGGCCTAAGCCGCAGTCCATTAGAAGGAGCTGACGCCTATCGTCGCTCCCCTCTCGTGAGCTTGAAATGCCCGTGTGCACTCGCCGCTCCACACGCGCCCGGTGAAGCTGTAAAGGCCATTTGTGGCTAACAGCAAAAACGATTAGAAAAAAAGCGTTAGCACGCGGTCTGCGCAACGGATTTGACAAGCGACGGATTGCAAAAGATTAACTAGCAACGGTAAATAGATCCCATACGTTCTCACGCAGCAATCTGTAAACTCTAGACATGGAAATTATTGCTACGTTTAATACATTATCATTTCGTGAAATTATATTTTTTTTATTCATGGATATATCAGAGACAAATCACAAAAAGTGATTTTCATTCAAAATGTCTTAATGTCACACTGGCTACTATTTGCTAAAAGTGAAATATAAATTATGATTTTTATGATAAGAAATGATAAAGTCTCTATTCGCTCGCTCTGTATGACCGTCTGATGAGATATCATTTCACTGCTAACTGACCGTAGCCAATGACTCACAAATAAATCTGAACGCAGCGACTATCTGCGATTTCATTTAGTATGATTTATAGCGAATTAGCTAGAGCGACGTATGATTTGGCGTAGCATATGAAATTTCAGTGAGAGCCGTTTGGTCCCGGTGTAAAATGAGCCACTCCTTCTTTGCCATGTTCCCCTGCTAAGCGTGGCAGCTACTGGCAACCCCGTCCTTTGTGGGGGAAACCTATGTTCAGCAGTGGATGGTTAACGGCTAATATCACAATGACGATGATAAGAAATTTCACTCGTGCCATGCGAAATATTCCAAGCGTCGCAATGGTGGTGTTATCGTGAAGTGCGTCCTCCGCAGCACCACTGCTGGGGCTGCGGCGCGGCGGTGTGCACGCGCTGCGTGGCGCGGCGCGCGCCGCTGGCGGCGCTGGCGTCGCCGCGAGCCGCCCCGCTGTGCGGCGCGTGCGCAGCCTGCACGCCGGCCGCCACGCCCGCTGCCACGCCCGTCGTCACGCCCGCCACGCTCGCCCCGGATCTACGCGCGCATACTGGTAATTTTTAAACGTTACTGACGTTCTTCTTCTGGGAGAAGGGATTATTAGTAATGGAGATTACCTATTTGTATTGTTACCACAGTTTATACAAAAATCGTTTGTTTGGGTACCTTGTCCCATTCGTGTTTCTACCGTGAAACAGTTGTGATTACATGGCTATATTTCAGTTTGAAGGGTAGGATGTGGCAGTGAATTTACAGGGTACAGAGGAATAACATCCGAGTCCTCAGGAAAGGATTAGCAAAATATTGTATTTTTTGTCTTGCTACTACAGTTATTAATTAGTATAGGAGACAATTTTTTTAACCGTCTTCAAATAATTCAAGGTTGTGTCCCATAAAAAAAATCCACTTCAATTGTGACGGTACCAGTTATTATGGTTTAAATAAGTAAACTACTGAACCGATTTTGATTAAATTTCTATGAAACCAACCTGTAAGTATATATCGTTTCTGATAAAAAGAGTATTTTCCAAATCGGTTTATAACTAACAGCGTTGTGAGGTAACAAACATAAACAATATACAGCCTAATTGTGAACCTCCTTTTTTTAAAAGTCGGTTGAAAAAGAAGATTCTTAATTCCATTGTATTCTATTCTTTATATATTTTTCTTTCTTTCTTTTATACAACTTAGAATGGTGAACAAGCTGACGCAAGGATAACAGTCGCCTATAGACATGAGCAGTACCATGGACATAACAGAGTATATACTGTTTCGCCCATGATATGCCCCCCATGCGTTGCCATTCCTGAGGATTCAGGTGTTATTCCTTTGTACTCTTACCTAACTTTGTCATTTATAAAACTACTAGGATTTTTTTATCGGCAAGGATATGTGTACATTTATACAATTTTAGATTAGTGCCTTAAAAATTTTACTAAAATTGTTATTTTTTCTTTTTTGTATGTTTGTCTAAATATTTTTGACAGCAATTAAACATTTCCTTTCAGACATCGTGACATCGGCAAATTAGAAATTAAAGTGGAGAAGTCGAATATGATCTTACCAATGTCTTTCAAAGGAGAGTATTCTATGAAAATAGTGTTAAATAAAAAAAAATATAGTCAAAATAGTGTTCACGTAAATGTCATGTCAGGAAAATAAGGAAGTTATTGGCGATTATAAGACGCAGTTCAAACAGAATGAATCAAGTCTAAGGAAACATGCACATAACACCGTGGCGCCAACTCTGAATTGATATGGAGCTAAGGGTGTTGTCACACGCATATTCTTTATTAATTTCGTGCCTATGTAAACCATATTTCTCTACATATATTCTTACACGGGGGGGGGGGGGAGGGCAGTAATATCGTGTGATGCTTATGCACGTTTGTGTGAAATCTATGCAACCAGTTCATTGGATTTGAGAGCTAAGTCGTTTATGATTTATTAATATAAATATTCTGGACAATCATTTTATAAATAGTTTTAATATACTCTTTTTTTTTTATTATATTGATACTTAATGGTTCCATAGATTTATTTTTTAGTTACAATAATATAAAGGCAGTGCCGAGTCTCTTAAATGACGTAAAGTAATTACATGCTTTGTGGCTGCAAAGTTCTCTGCCCATTACATTGTATAATACCTTCCCTCTTTAACAACGTTTTCGCTAGCGAGTCCATGAGATAGAATGAGATGGCGATATGTGGTGTCTTATTCTGTTTTATTTGAACTCCAACCGAAATGATTCTATCTATATATATTAGTTTATTCCTTGCCCTCTTGACAAGCGAAAAATAGAATGAAATAGCAACGTCGGATGTCTCATTCCAACTCATGGACTCGCGATGTCGATTCCATCGAAGAATTCGCTTGCCATTTGTCTAGAGGCCCTTGTATAGGGGGTTAAAGAGCGTTCACACAGATAATTCAGATATCGCAAGGCTAGGAATAAAAATAAAAAAATATTACAGTGTAGTGTAGTGAGGTAAGTTAAAGCTAAAAGCGCGGTGACAATTGTTCCAATTTTGTCTTTCTCGTCAAGTCCATGTAGGCTAAGATCACAGGGCCGACACATTTATATTATTTTATTAAAGCGAAGTATCTTTTGTGGATGTGTACAACAGCAGGCAAGAACAAGTGAGCTGAGGTTGAAAAAGGTACAAAGATGTTGCTACAGTTCGTTAAAATATTAATTTAGTTTTTTTTTTATATGTTCAGTAGGACGGTATTTTTTTTATGGTTGAAAATGGTATGGTAACCCCGCCTGCGCTAACGGGATACGCTGGCCGAGCACCAGTGACGGATGATCGGTGAGAATGAAAACAGGCCAGTTAGCACATGATGATGAATTCATCAGGAATTAACCATGATAGTTTCCAGGGGGAACCGCGAGGAGGTCGACCTGGTTGGGTATATTGCTAGCAATGGGATTCTCAGTCCCCATTACTAACAATCCCTTACCCCCCCCCCCCCCCCCCCCAGGTACCCAGTAGGACGGTATTAGAAATAAATATTTAGGTACTATAACCGGACTATCTACAGGTTATTGTTTTCAAACGCCTTAATGCTCAATAAATAGTCATTTAAAATTGGTTTATATATAGAGGAGCAACATTTTTGTACTTTTACAACTAGTTAATTATCTGCTTAATAATTGACGCTCAGTTTATGCCCATTTGTTCTTATCTATATGATATACACCCATCCAGCAATTTTAGTTTTTAAAAAAATATGGGTTTAACGGCCCTGGAGTCTTGCTGTAATGGGCGTGCATGTACAAAAAATAAATCGATGTCTCCAATAATAGATTGTATTATATTACTTTTTAGAATATGTATAATGTACCTATGTAAGAGGCATAATTTCTTATCCATAATAATTATAAGTGATATATTACAATTTCTCGATGTAAATAATTGTACTGTTCAGTAGAATATAATATGTAATTACTGTTATAAAATAATTAAATGAAAAATGTAAAATAATTTAATTATATATATATACATGGACATAGTACTATCTTGTTTTAATACCTGTCACTATTACAACCTTTGTTTTTAAAAAAAAGTATGAGTGTTTGAAAGTGTTGCCATTTGAATGACTAATGTTAATAATTGCGTTTACAGTCCCTTTAAGATATTTAATTATATATTAAATTAACATTGACGAGGTACTTGTAAATATATTATTTTAAATGATTAATCTTTCTAATTATTTTAATGTAATTTTAAAATTTTATTTCTAGCAACACATGCCCCTAGGCGATTTGACATAATTTTAAGCGTTTTGTTTCTCAAAAGTGACATGTATTTTAACTCCTTCGTGGCAAATGTATGTAACAGAGCGATTATGTTATCCTGTTACACAGTTTTACGCTAATTGAATTGTTACCGTTTTATTATCAGTAAGTAATCGAATAACGAGCGAGTCCAAGTCACTAACGACCAATTATGATAAACGACAGCATTTCAAAAAGAATTTTTCGAATTTTTCATAATAAACTTCGCATGCAAAATGTTTTATCGTACGGGAATTTTGTTTGCTCTTATTTATACAGTACTCTGTACCGAGCCAAAGAATAAAATAGAAAGACAAAGGATGATGGGTGTAGATACTGTACATGATATTAAGATCGATAAAGATACAATAATTAATCGTAATTTGAAATTGGAAAGGAAAAATCGCGCCAAAAATTGTGAGTATTATTTATTTCCAAAGTATAGGTATTTTATTGTAATAGTTTCATATTTATTAACTATTCAATGCTAGCCGTGTAGATACTGGCATAGAATAGGCCACCCCTTTTGCCGTGGGTGTCGTAAGAGGCGTCTAAAGGAGCTCATGACCAAGGGATGGTTTGTATAGCGTCTCTCTTCAAACATCAAAAGCCAAACTGCAGTTGCCAATCCGCCTGCCAAGCATGACAACTACTAGCAAAGCTCTCCGTATGGACGAGGCCATGCTCAGCAGTGGGCGGTTGGTACAAAAACTATGTAATATTACTATCGTTGAAAATTACGTAAGTATACATTATATTTTAACAATAAGACTAACCGGATTTACGTATATTTTAATCGAGAATTAAACACAAGTAAATCTGAAATATTACGTATATTTCAGATTTACTTGTGTTTTATTAGTTAATTCAGTTAGTGTTATAGTTAAAATATTCAACATTTAACAAGAGGATACATGTAACAGAAACAAGATCCATTTGATGGGAAATGAGGTGAGGTGTTGGTTGGTGCCTTGCCGGTGTATACCGATAGCGTAGCGTGGGGTTACCATTCCATTATCACCCATTAAAAAAAATATCTCCCTCTGTATGAAGTTACCGGTACTGACATGTATGCACGATTTGATTATAATGATTTTGCAGCGAATCCTAAAAACGAAGAAGGTGAACCGGACTGGTCATACCGCACCATCCCAAATGAGATGAGCGCTCACGTGGAACAATTCAAACGCAATATGACCGACTGTTTGAAGGAAGTGCAGGCAAAGGACAAAAGACCAGTGACACGTTTGTCACCAAATAAAGAATCACCAGTCCACGGTGAATGTCTAATAGCGTGCGTGTTGAAACGGAATGATGTAATTGTAAATGGAAAGATTAACAAAGGTTTGTTCGATATCAATTTAGCGGTTTTAGTTTAGGTTTAGATAGTTACATGTCATCATATAGCCTAGTTGGGCTATATGCTTGTTTAGTTTGTAGAGTCCAGTGAAAACCCTTATAGCCTGAGCCAGATTAGAAACGGGATAGGGATTTGTTAGTAATGTACCTATAATACCGTTAGTCTCTTCTCTTGGTTAAACACTGGGGAATATTTGTTAGTTTTTATTCTGAATCAATTTCAATAACTTTTTTAGGAAAGGGTTTAAATATTATTCTTTTGATTCAATTAATTTTAATTAATATTAAATGCTAATTATTTGCATCATTATACTTGCAGCAAATTTGATATCATTAGTGAGTAAATTTTATGCAAAAGATACAAAGCTTATGAAGAAACTTGAAAAGAATTTGGATCGTTGTATAGAAATGAGCATTCATAATCGAGACGAGTGCACTATGGCATCACAGTTAAATATTTGTACAAATGAAATTATGGTTAATAATAAACATAACATTATTTTAAATTATTGAAATATTAAATATTATTGACGAATACAAACACCATTATGCTTTGAGTTATATTTTCTTGTCGTATATAAATATAAAAAGATCTCTATTATAAGAATAAACAACAAGAACATAGAAATAAATGTAATGGTATTATTTTAAAGTTATTATATTACATTGAAAAATAAAGCAGCTTTTAGTTGTGTTGACGAAATCACTGAACCGTGTATGGAGCTTTAAAGACAATAAAATGTAAACAGGATATTATATTTATTTTTTAATTTACCTAACAATCTGTCAAACATCTAGATTCTCAAGTTTGTATAAAAACCTATGTTTGTTTGGTATTCTGTCTATGCGTCAACGTTAGTAACATCAATAGACATATTATGTGGTTATACTAGTGTGCGGATTTGTAAATCTGTGCACGTGACAGATTGAAATTTATATGGAATTCATAAAAAAAAAAAAAAGATAAAATGCACACATTTGATAGAATTTTTATTTTAATTCGTAGACTTTATTTTGATTAAATTCGATATGTTTTTCCTTAAATTCTTGTACAAAATAATTTTCATTGTTCTGTAATATTGTATTTAAAGTGATAAATCCTTGAACCGTATGAAAAATATTTAACTCTGTGGTTCTTTTTTCTAATTTATGTTATATCCAAGTACAGCAAACTTAATTCTAACTGACTACATTAATTTAAAATTAATTTTACTACAAAAGGTAAAAATCATTGGAAATTGTTATGTTCATATTCCTGCCAAATCAGCTTTGAGTATATATCGCGCAAATTTATGTCCTATAGGTTATTTCGCTCTTACATACCGGTTATGTTATTTTCTCTTTTTTCACCGGTACTCTGTATACTGATATACTTCATAATCTAAGGCAACATCAGATAGTAAAATCTGTGCAGTCCATTTTTTGTGTATTTTCTTTAATCTGTGCAGTCAATCAATCCCAATCTCAGTCATCATTCTTTTTATTGCATTTATATCTTTAACTTTTTTCAATTTTTGTTTGTTTTTTGATAGTTCACTTTCAAATTAATTAAATTATAACTAAGTGGATATCCAAAAAGTAATAATAGTCGTCTTTAATTGTAGTATCGTGGTCCTGATTCATTGATTATTTATTCTACATATATTGTGTCATGGTTTGGATTCTGTTGATTTTGTTGTATCATCATCATCGTACAAATTAATAACATATCTATTGTCTATTGCTGAACATAGTTGTTCCTTATATTTCATCATAGTTTGTATTTTTTGTTAATAAGTATTTCGGATAGTTAGCATGCTTGATAAGAGGTTACTCCCACAGTATTTCTATAGAAATACAGGCTTACCTGTTGTCAGAGGGGATTCCACAGTCTATTTTCTCTTGTATGCATCATTATAATTGTAAAAGTTTGGAGTTTTTCTTGTGTTAGACCCTGGTTTAATTTTGGAATAGAAGTATTTCTGTACCTAACCTTTATACAAGAAGGAGGTTAGGCTGTGATCAGTGTTAACAAGTCATTCTTATATTCAGTGACATAAAAAAAATAATTGTAATTATGATTATAGTTTTGTTACTATTTTTTTAAAAATTCAAGAAGTAAAAATTATGAGAGGATATTGATTTTTTTTAATTGTAATTTTGATGGTCATCCTGCTGACTGGTATCCTGCATTGATTTTTATATTCAAAGAGTATTATTTCAAGTCGTCAATAAATATTTTGGTTAGTGGATACCCTGAGGGGTGGTTTTGACAGCTTTGCATAGTAGTACTTTATATGTTAACAGTCCTGCATATGGTTTTTACATTTTTTATAACTAATTCATTAAAAATCAACTGATTACATGTGCTCATATAGTATGCATATCATGCATATATAGTATCTAAGAATAAAATAAAGAATTAACATGTGGTTATACCTCATATTTAATGAATAACCAAATTAAATTTAAACTGAAATAAAAAGTCCTAGAAATTTATGTATTACTCTGCTACATTCAGGACACTATGTATTTTTTTTTTTTTTTTTTTCTGAATGTGTTTGCTGTTGGCCGTGTGTGGCCTTTACAGCTTCACCGGACGCGAATGCAGGGGCGAGTGCTGATGGCACTCCAAGCCCGCGAGAGGGGAGCGACAGAGGTGTCGACTCTTTCTTATGGACTGTCAGGACACTATGATTGAAGGGCATTTTCAAATGTAATATAGAGTTGTTTTGTCTCTTTGCGTCCATTTAGTGCAGTTGGCAAGTTTGACGGCGATAATAAAAATGTCCCAGCACTGAAGTAATTTCTATGAATAATTTGTGTAATGTATTCATTATATAGTTTATTTTAAGATTAACTTTCAGTTTCATTAAAAACATCTTGTGTTCTCATTTTAAATAGATAAACTTCAGAATTAGGTGTTTTACCCACTTTACATCTACAAAATCCAAATTGCGTTCAACCTTGGACCATTTAGCGTCCAGCAGATTAGAAAAGGAATATAGGAGTGCTATTTTTAAGAATTTGTAGAGAAAGATTGTATTTTAACAATTTCTTTATTTAAGATTATAAATATTAAAAAATCAACATTATTATCATTAATAAAATAAAAATAATTCTTCTTAACATTGGTAGAACTTAAAATTAGCTAAGTAATAGGCAAATAATGATTGCAACTTAAAGAATAATCAGTAATCTGTTAATTTTACCCTGAAATCACAAGGTATTATTATTGCTAAAGGTCAGCCTTGATTATAATAAGTTTTTGGCTATATTAAAGCAACGAAACTATATAACAATTTTGTCTAATCATACAACTACAAGAATTATTGAATCAATAAATTATCAGAGAAGGTATGATTATTGTTAACCGTTCATAAAATAAGATGTTACAAATTGAAATTAATAGACCAGCAATGGTTATTAATGGACTGTATGAAGTTATTACGATGATGGTATGTAAATAATGAACACAAGAGGATAATGAAGGTGGAGACCACTGATTTGAAACTTTGTAGTTGGCAGGATTCGGTTCTGGCTTTAGGCTTTCCAGAACTTTTGGCTCATTCGAATTTACCCTCAGATCAGGACGATCTCCACTCACTAAGCCTATTGGTTATGTGTTATATAATTAAAAGTGATACGAAATGATATATATTAATTTGTACGATAATCGGAACAATATATGTACGCGCGCCATAATATTCGAAAACGAGAATGACGATAACGAATTCGTTTTCTACCGACACATTCGATAACAAATAGACAAGACTATTTTTTTCTTCTTTACGATATTGTTGCTAGGCGAAATTTATTAAAGGCACAATTCTTAACAATTATTATAGCCTTAGGATTTTAATTAATAACATAGATTACATTCAAAAGATTTATCTTTGGCCTCTAAATAACTTAATCCTTCAAATCGCGTGCATTTTAGATGATACCATCTAATACTCTTGTCACAGCCTATGTTTTTCTCGTCTTCTACATCTGAAATCAGTATATCGTCACATTTAGAACATTTCACTCGCTCCACGACTGGTAAATTTTCTTTCTCAAATTCCTCATTAAACATTTCCTGTGTGACTTCTTGTATCTTCTTTTTAGACCAGTTTTACGAACCGTTTGAGAATGTTTTAAAGTCTTTTCTGGTCTTGTTTTTTAGTTGTTTTAACTTTCTATTTCGTATTACTTCCTGCTCCTCTTTTTGGTCCGCTCTTCATAATATTTTCTCTATGTAGCAGAAGATATGGATTCTGGAGTTCTTTGATTATTTTTTCGTGTTTTGTTAGAAATTTCAGATAGCATCAGGTGGTCTTTAAATGGATCAGGGTATCTTTTGTGTTGCTGCTGAAGCTGGTTATAGAAACTCTGTAGGTAAAAAGGATGGTAGCGATATAGTTGATGCTGATGATGAAGTTAAAGGCAGTTCTGGAGTTAGTTTCTTGATGAGAGTTTCTTTTTAAACACTTAATATGGTTGGAGTTGATTCAATATCTTCTATTGGTAGAATTAGAACGTTGTCTAAGGACATCGTCAGTAATTGCCAGAAAGATGTAACGTCGAAAGGGACAAGTTAGGGAACGAATCGTTTTTGTTTGTGTCAAGAGTTGAATAATTATCTGGATATACTGTAATTTTAATATATATGTAAAAAAGTTGTGATATTCAAATGTAATGTTCGTCTTTGGGACAAAATGGTTATTGAAAAGTTCTATAATTTTTTTGTATGTAATGGTTTCTTCACAGTGGCGGATTAAAGGTCCAGAGCGCCCTAGGCAATCACTTTATCGGCGCCCCTGTACCGGCCATAAATGGCCATCATAATATTATAAATTTTAACTACTTGTTTTGCAATTACGATGACGTTGTATCATCAAACCCTAGACTTTAGAAGACCAGGACCCTTGTACTTACGCTAATGCGTGAATGAAATATGACGTTATAACAGATGATGGTGTGTTATGAATATATCACTAGAGAACGTCCCGCGATTTCACCCGCGTATAGTAGTGTAGTGTAGCTTTCTACAGGTGAAAGAATTTTTGATTTCGGTCTAGTAGTTTTTGAGTTTATTGGTTATAAACAAACAATCGAATAGTGGTAGAGCACAGCTGCACTGCAGCTCATAACTGGCCGGATCTAATGGGGAAGTACAACATCTTTGCAGAAGACTGGCGTGAAACAACGGGGTGAATAACCTTGTTGTGTTTAGTCCAGTGAGTAAGCGTTCCGGTGGCCTAACTTTGCAACACACGCAAGTCAATAGTACAACATAGACAAAAACTTTCCCTGTGCTTGGACAGTAAATAAGCCATTTTCTTGGACGTTTTTCTCTATTTAACAATTTCCGTTCAAACATTGTTTTTGTCAAAAAACGTGAGACTTTATCTTCATACTCTTACTCAATGAAAAATCTACGTTTATATTTTGATTGAAACCATTTAGTGCAATATATTCTTGTGTTTCGTTGTTGATACTCCACTGGGCTGGGTCACAATCCACGATAATTATTGTATTTTACGACTGCTGCCCACGCCATCTACTGCTAACGAAGTAGATGGCGTGGGCACGAACAAATCTTGTGGCTGTATAGAACTAGAACTAGTAGAAGTAATTATATTGTATGCAATACATTAATTATTTTACAATCATACAATAAAATAGTCAATGAATTTGAAAATAAAATAAAGCATGTCAATCAACAGTCACAAACTAATTCATGGTCACCATTAGGATATATAAAAAAAAATAGGTCAATATAAAAAAAAATGTCAAAGAGCAAAGAATTCATTCATATTGTAAAAAGCATTTTCAAGTAGCCATTTTTTTAATAATAATTTGTATTAGGAGTACAAATAAGTTTCCGCCGTTT